TTTATAAATTAAATATTTAAAATAATTTATTTATTTATTTATATTATTAAAAAAAATATTTTTTCTGTTAAGAATTAATTAAATTAAATAAATAATGATATAGTTAGAGTAAAAAAAATAAAATATTTATCTAGATTTAAAAAATAAAAAAAATAATTAATTTTAAAAAATTCAAAATTAAAAAATAATTATATTATTATGAACGGTCCATGTGAACATTGTAATGGATTCTAAGGCTACGATTTGCTCCATTTCTATCCTGGCGGGTTTCGGCATCTCCATTCTCCGATGCAGTGTGATAATGTCGTCGCTCACGAATTAGCAGGGAGAACCTTACATGCAGAAGATGAGGAGTGGCTATTCGATTGAGGAAGTTCTTGATTATATTGCGCTTCTTGTAATACTCTATCTAGCTTTATAATTTTTCCTGTTTCATATCAGTAAAATGTGCGTAATGTCTAATATATTTCGAATCAATCTCTCGAGATCTAATGGTTTATTTTTAAATGATAAATATTCAGATAAAGTTAGTTGATAATTATCAATTATTTAAATATTTGTATTAATTTTACAGACAATTGATACTTCCTCTAACCCAAAGACTGAGTCCATCCCTTACCTTTTACCCTTGTAATTGTACTTATTCAAAAAAAAATCTGATATATTTCAAAAAGAAAAACAAACAAACAAACAAACTTATACGGGCAACTGGCTTCACTGTATTATTAGACTTGGCAATAATTCACCACTTCCCCCTGCAGATATGCGTATCTTGTAGTACCATTGCTTTTACTTTCGGTGTATTTTCTTTCTAAGATAAAGTTTTGCCTTGGATTCCATTGAGCACCATTTTCTTGAGTACGTGCTACTTTATTTTGCGCCAGAGATTTGTCTGTGTCATGAGGTCCGCTGCCATCTATGAGGATGAGCCAGGAAACAATGTACTGTTTTTCTAGCCAAGTGGTGACTCTAGTTTTCTTTTTCAAAAAATTAAAATTTTATTGATATAAAAATTCATTCAAGTTATAACAACAATTTGAATGAAGTAATAATTTAGAGATATTATATTTATAAGATATATGTAAAATAATATTAAATTATTTAATATCTATATAAATAT